TTCTTCATGTATGATGTGCTTGATGTCATCCCACAACTCTTCTGGTCTTTGGTCTTTAGTGTTTAATGTATCAAATCTGTTCTTCAGATGATCTCTAAGTTCAGGTGGGATATATTCAAGGTCATATTTTGGCTCTTGTGGACTTTTTATCATTTTCTTCAGCTTCAGTTTGAATTTGCATATGAGTAATTAATGGTCTGTTCCACAGTCTTCCCTGGCCTTGTTTTCACTGATGATATGGAGCTTTTCTATCATCTCTTTCCACAGATGTAGTCAATTTGATTTCTATGTATTCCATGTGGTGAGGTCCATATGTTTAGTCATCTTTTATGCTGTCTAAAGAAGGTATTTGATATGAACAAATCATTGGTTTTGCAGAATAATATCATGCATTCTCCAGCATCATTTCTATCACCAAGGCCATATTTTCCAACTACTGATCCTTCTTCTTTGCTCCCAACCTTTGCATTCCAAATACCAATAATGAGCAATACACCTTGATTGCATGTTTAATCGATTTCAGATTGAAGAAGTAGTTAGAATTCTTCTATTTCATCGTCACTGGCTTTAGTGGTTGGTGCATAAATATGAATAATAGTGATATTAACTGGGCTTCCCTGTAGGCGCGTAGATATTATCCTATCACAGACAGCGTTGTACCTCATGACTGATCTGGATATGTTCTTTTTGTCAGTAAATGCCACACCATTCCTCTTCAATTTGTCATTCCTGGTATAGTAATCCATGTGGTCGTCTGATTCAAAATGGCCAATACCAGTCCATTTCAGTTCCCTAATGCCTAAGATATCCATGCTTATTTGTTCCATTTCATTTTTGACAGCTTCCAATTTTCTCAGATTCATACTTCGTACATTCCATGTTCTGATTTTCAGTGGCTGTTTACAGCTGTGTCTCTTCATTTTGACCATCAGCAAATGAAGATCCCACAGGCTTTACTCCATTCACGTCATCACGGTCAACTCTACTTTGAGGAGGCAGCTCTTCCCCAGTTGCATTTTGAGTGCCTTCCAAACTGAGGGGCTCATTTTCTGGCAGTATATCTAACAGTGTTTCTCTGCTATTCACAAGGTTTTCAGTGACTAAATATTCAGAAGTAGTTCATCACTCCTTCTTCCTCGTCTGTCTTAGTCTGGAAGCTCATCTGAAATCTGTCCACCATGGGTGACCCTGCTGGTATTTAAAATACCAGTGGCATAGCTTTCAGAACCACAGCAACTCACAAGC